AACCAAACAATAAAAATGTGTAGAGTTAAAGCAGTTTGGAGCAGAGTGGGGTGCTAAACATGTCAGAGAAAGTCAATACTTACTTCAAATTGCAAAATGTAATGATAAAAACTGCTGTGATCATTGTCACAGCTCACTGTTTTTTCTTATTCCAACTGAAGAAGATGGCCTTGAGTGCAATAATACAAAAAACACTTAGCAAAATAATTTTGCCCAAGAAAGTTTCCCAAAGGATTGTCATGTGACTACTTATGTCCCAGCATTCAAACTTCCTTACCAAAAAGAATTTGTACCAATTGTAGTCTATATTTTGCCACTATCAAATCAATGAAATAACACAAAACAGTTTGCTCATGTATTGGGTTATTAAATAAGGTAGGCAAATAGGTTTGCACAAAAAGTTTAACCTATTTGCCTAGTTACTCGACGTCTATCTAAACTCATATGCGTCATTTTAAATTCAGACAAAGAAGCATTTGAATAGTATGATCAGGATGATGTTGATAACTGGCCTTAAGCTCAAAGTCTGATATGGGAACAAATTTAAGTCTTAAACAGAAATATATCATATGTATTTAAATATATATGTATATATATATATATATATTTATATATATATATGTATTTTTATATAAATATGTATATATATATATATATATATATATATATATATATATATATATATATATATATATATATATATATATATATATATATATATATATATATATATATATATATATATACATGTATATAAACAATTTAAAATGTATTCTACAAAATAGAGTGCTCAATGTTCTTAAAAGAACCGAGCAATTATAAATGAGTACAAAATGTGTTTCATCAATAAAGACTCATCAGAAATGAATGATCAAATTAATAAAACTTGATTTTTTACCAAAAATTAAATTACAAAAAGTCGCAAATGTCTTAACTTCTGTAAATTTTCACACATTTGTGGAATATGCTGGCACTATTATGAAAAGAATTCTTTAGAATTGATTACTTCTGCTTTTTTTAAAAGGGGGGATTTAATGTTATTATTATTTGAGCTCACTTATTTTTACAGTTTTTTAGGAGAAACTTATTTTCGTGCCTGCATTTAGAAATCGATTTTTTGTTTAATAAACATTCTTGGTTTTCATGTGTAATAGTTTCAAATTTTTTTTAAGTGTAGTTTGCATTTTTTGGAAATATTGTTATATGCAGGTGCTGTTTTAAGGGTGGACCAATTCAGTATAAAATCATCAATATTTTAATCTTTTAATTCCCATATATATTTTGACAGCATGGTGTCTATTGAATACTTTTTATTTTTAAAGGATTATAATTGGCAAAACATTTTTTCTACTCTTCCTCTGTTATGCCAATATATTGTTTTTCAGGTACATTCCACTCGTTGGACAATTGTTTTTTGTTTACAATTACAATTTTCTGTAGTTTTTTCATTAAGGATTTCTTTTTTGTTTAACAAAGCTTAATTGAGACCTTTTATAATTCTTTCCATATTTTTTGTACAACTGTGGCTAACTTTATTTGTATTTTGACTAAAAATTTTTTGTAGTTTATTAGAGGGCAGGATATGTTTATCGACTAATTTTAAAAACACTTTTCTTATGTTAGTGGAAACATTTTTGCTATATGGAGGGTTGAACCAGATTACATTTCTAGTTCTACTTTGCTTTTTTGTATTCTTTTTTCCAGAGTCAAATTTTAGTTCAATATTTTCAAAACCACTATTTTTAAGAGCATCTTCAAATATTTGTTTAGAGGAATTGAATACATTTTCATTAGAGGAGTTTTGGTTTAGCCTGATATTATTTGAAATCGGGATTTGTTTTGGAATTTGGGGTGAATGATTTGAGTTCATATTAATATACAATAATTCATCGTTTTGTTTTTTGAAAGGCTTATATAAATTTTCAGCGAGGTTAAATGTGACATCAAGAAAGTTCACAATTTTTAAATTTATGTTTATTTGGATTTGAGAGCCAATATCTTTAAAAAAGTTTATAATATCTTTTCTAATTTTATTGAGCTGTGGATCAGATTTTTTATGCATAACTATTAAACCATCGTCGCAATAAAGACCTAAATCATTTATATTGATTATTTTACTTAATAAATCTAAAATATATAGTCCAACAAACTCACAAATTTCTGCTCCATCATATCTGCCCATTGTTACATCAAAGCAGTGATGTATGTTTTTCTTTTTCCCAGTTAATATTAAAATATTAACTGGGAAAAATATTAAATATTTTTCCCAGTTAATATTCTATATTAAAATAAAGTAAGGTTTTTCTACATTGTTTTATTTCTGATTGTTTCTTCAGGAATAACTGTGTGGCTTTTTGCAAATTTAATTGTGTTATCTAAAATATCTGCAGATACTGAGGGGTAAAAATCACTTATGTCAAATTGAATAAATGTACAGTCATTTTTATTTTCGGTTATAGAGAACCAATTTATAACATCAGTGGTATTTTTCCGCTGTTGCAAATTTAATTTATTTCTAAGAATTTTGTTAATTTTGTCCAATTTAACTTTGCTTACATGTCTAATCTCACTTTTTGAGGGAACCAATAACCTACAAGGAAGTTTGTTTTGAAAATATGGTTTATGATCTTTTAGTGTTATGAAGGCTTGGGCTTGGGCAGTCAATTCGATTCTGTTATCAATGATTATTTTTTTAGCACTTTGTTTCTGTTGTGAGTTGGAAAATGTTGTTTGTTTTATCAGCAAAAATCAAAATATTAGGGTTTGATTTAATTTTTTTAACATCTAACTTTAATTCTGTTTGAAATTAATTTTTTTTAGGGTAAAACTTTATTGTTTTAATTATATCCAATAGGTCATTTTCAAAAATTTCTAAATCAGGTATAAAAGGTGGGGTATTTTTTGTTTTAAATCCATAATTTTCATTATCTTGGTTGTTATTAAATACATCATCTGTGTTTGTTTTTAGTTTTAAGAAAAATAAGCTTTCCAACGAATTCTTTTAATAAAATGCTCAACTTTTTCAATCAAAGAAATAGTATAACTTTTTTTATCTAGTATTGGTATATTTTTCAACAAGTGAAAATTATTAGTTTCCATATTTACATAGAATGTTAAAATACAAATAAGAGTGCTTATCAAATGTTAATAAGGAGCCTAATATATATTTAAACTTTTAAAATGTATTCTACAAAATAGAGTTCTTAATGTTATTAAAAGAACAGAGCAATTATAAAGTAGTAGAAAATCTCTTAACAAATTTTTTTTTATTTAACACTGTGTTTCATCAATAAAGACTTACAGATTTCATAGAAGTTAAGGCGTTTGCGACTTTCTGTAATTTAATTTTTGGTATAAGTTGAAGTTTTATTAATTTGATGATTCATTTCTGATGAGTTTTTATTGATGAAACAGTGTTAAATGAAAAAAATTTTTGTTGAGTGATTTTCTACTAATTTATAATTGCTCTGTTATTTTAGGAACATTGAGTACTCTATTTTGTGATCTAATTATCAGTATATATATATATATATATATATATATATATATATATATATATATATATATATATATATATATATATATATATATATATATATATATACATATATTGATAATTAGATCACTACCACCTAATTTGTAAAAATAATATAACCACACATTTACACATTCTATAAATTGAGTGTGTTTAGCATGTTGGACACCATTCCAAATTGTAACTTATGTGAACAGCCTAATGTACCCAAATTTTGCAAAAAAAATTATATTATTATACTAAATTGTTATGCCATTGACAAAGTTTTGTAATGCATAAAAAAAATAGGTTAACTCTATGTTTATTTAACCTATGGTTTACTCTGCTGTTTGATATGATGACATTTATCAATTTCATAAACATTTTTCAAAATCCGCGAAAAAACAAGATTTTTATAAAAATTTTTTTGATGATTGATAAAGCAAAACATCAAAAACCAGTTAAAAATTAAGGAGCAATATTATATTGAATAAAATATAGTTTAGTGTATTAATATTATATTGAATAAAAGATAGCCTTTAGTGTTGTAAACAAGTTCTAATAATTAAGTTATAAGTTTGTTATATAATAAGTTTTTGTTATATTTATTATATTTAAAAATCAGTTTATACTATATTTTTAGTTATAGTTTTAATATATTATCATATAGAATATGCCATGCTTAATTGAGTTGCTTTTTGTTTTAATAAATATTTATCTAATGATTGAATTACAAAAATATCACCTTATTTTTGTTCTTTTTTGTAATTAGTATTATACTTATAACAAAAAATATCATAATTTTCATAATTGTTGTTTTAATTGTCGTCATTTTTTTTTAAATTTACTTTTATTAGTCTAATCAATTCAGTCTTCAGGACTTAATTAGACAATAAATCCATAGTTATATCTCTTTGGATACACTCCATACAGGCCATAAATATGTCTAAATAAACTCTTGAAAATCTGTAAATAAAACTAGTTATATTGAAGTAACCTATTTATAAATTAGTTTGCTATATTTTTTGAGAATTTTTAAACCCTTTAGTATTTATTAAAAGTATATTTTAAAAAGTTAATTTTTTTTTATCTTCCAATTATATTTTATACATACTCTATTTTAATTATATGTTCTGTATTTTATATGTACTTTATTTTAAATAAGTATTCTGTACTTCATATATATATTTTGTTTAATTATTTTAATTTAAGTATTTTTTTTAATGTATTTTGATTACATGTCTGTATTTTATATGTTTTATACTTATAACTATTAAAGTTTACAAAATACAGAATTTATTTGTATTTTTTGTTTTTTACTTGTAACATAAAAAACGCAAAATATATTTTATTTGTATTTTATATTTTTTACTTTAAGTACATAAAATACGCAATATATTTGTATTTTATATATAAAATGCTTATTTTAGTTTTTTTTACCATTGTTTTGTTTTTTGTTTTTTAAAATATACATTTTATATTTTAGTTGCTAAATGTACAGCATCTTGTGATGGTGTTTTAAAATGTTCAGGTAAAAAACGAAATATTTAAAAATTATTTTATAAATAGAAAATATAATATGAACAGACATTTAATGTAATTTTTGTTTTTTTGTCAATCAAATTTAAAAAAACTTTATTAATGACTCTGAGCAACTATTGACTAAATAGAGAAAACAGGAGTGCCACAATTTTGGCTAAGGACTTGGATTGGGGCAGCTATTGTTTTTTTCATTTTTTCCTTCTTTTTTTTTGTAAAAAAACCATAAGGTTTTTTTAGGAATTAGGTTAACAAATAATGTCACTAGATCTATATTTATACATTCTAGTAGATGCGTATATATATATATATATATATATATATATATATATATATATATATATATATATATATATATATATATATATACACACTTACTTTTACATATTTAGATCTGCATTTGGTTAAGTCAGCAGTATTTGTTCAAAACAGCTTAATGCTGACTTATATCTATACAGGTTTTTTTTGGAAAAAAAAAGAAATCAAAAATAATCAAAATAACAATTATTGCCCCAACTCAACCCTAAGTCAAGTAGAGGCACTTCCTTGCATGTTCTCTTAGTCTGGAAATGTGTCTACTCATAGCTCCCTAATTCAGTTTAGTGTCAGATTATACTTACCTAAGTGCGCAATGGGGCCATCCATAAATGATGTCAATGGGGAGGGGGGTGTTGAAACCAAAATGATGTCAATTTAAAAAAAAATAATACTAAGCTTATACGAGCAGATTTTAAAGGTATTTACATCTACAATCTGGTATAGAAATGGCATATTTGCTTTGCGGGTAATAGACAAATGGTAATAACATTTTATCATTGTATTACCATTTGTCTGAAAATCTAATTGTTTACAAATATCAACAATTTGTATATAAATTTAACAATCATTATTCACTCCCTAGCAGATTATAAAATGTGCTTCAAAGGAAACACATAAAGTCATTTGTCATTATTTCAAATACAATTGTCATTAATATCGAAGATCACTTCAACAACCCATGGGAAGATGATGGGAGATCGAATTTATGTTATAGATATAGAATAAAATTTTGATTAGTTTGTTTATTATTTGATAAGGTATCAACTGTTTTATAATAGAACTTGCTGAGATCTACTGCTATATAAATGTATAATTTAACCAGAAAAAAATCAATGGTGTTTAAGCATATTTTTAATGTTACTTTAGGAGGAGGGGGGGAGAGGGTAAAAAAACTGACATCATATATAAGGTAGGTCGGCCAAAAATTGACTAAGTCTGACAAAGGGGGAGGAGGGGGTCGAAAATTGAGAAATATCACTTACATCATTTATAGACAATCCAAATAGCATTTGTATATGTATATATTATAGATTGGCCTATTCCAATTCCACCCGATTTACCTAATTCTCAAGGAATTGAAAGAATTAAGGTTCTCTTCAATTTCAACAAACTTGAATGATTCTAATTCTTTTAAAGTTTTTATTTTTCTTTTTTAAAGACTTGACTTCTTTTATAAATACTCCCTTGAGTATATTCTATTGAAATAGAGGTGTTCACTTTTCATCGCAATAAATAACAAAAAATATTTATTTATTTAATAGCTGATTGGGGCCATAAAAATACAGAACTTTGTAAGTATTTTCCAAGCCAAACTTTTCTATGCTTTTTACTTGTATATCCTAGATTTCTTGATCCGTAAAATACAGGTCTTTACCAGACCTACCATTTCTATGCAAATCTATCCCAAACGGATTATTTCTATACCTATTACTTATTTTCTTCATTATTTTTAGTAAATTAATTTGTTCTGAAAAAAAAACTTTAAGAGCAAAAAACTCAACATGCGCACCTTTTCTGCATACCTAGAGCTTATGAGAGATTTATAATAAGGTTTTTTTTCTGCTAAATGCATTTCATTGATAGCTCAGTGGATTAGTGCACTGTCATCAGTGTCTTTTTGGGGGTTTAAACCTTTCCTTAGCATAATAAAATTTAAAAGTTTTTCAATTTTGCTTATATATTTATAGCAAAATAATAATAATAATATAGCAAAAAAGATTTCTAAATTTTAAAATGAAATTTCAAAGTTTTCTTTTTTTATAGGTATATTATACACGATTATTCCATATAATGCATGCAAACTCATTATATCCTAGAGACATTTACAATTACAGACGTTTGTACGTAACACTATACAAATGGAAATTAGAAGATCTTAGACTATTAAAACATAGTCATAAAAAAAGTTCATTCTCATGATTTTGATTGAAAACTAAAAACGCAGCTTCAGCTATTAAACGCTAATCTAAAAGGTGAGCTAAAAAATTTTGCTCATTGACGTCAGTTTGTGGCAAAATAAGCATTTAAATGTCAAGTTTCTTTTTGCATTAATCTTAAATTTTTTGACTAATTTTAACTATGTTGCATACAATTGCACAAAAATATATAAAACTGGTATAGATTATCATTTCACAGATATCATTTCTCAGATAAGAGCACGGTCATTTAGATATTAGTAAAAACCGCTATGTTTAGCTACGCATGCATAAGAAAATACGAAAAACTTTTGAACTTTTAAAATGGCTACAGTTCTTAACTACAGAGAATATTTTATATGGCAACAGGTTATTTGTTAATTAATTTCTGAAAAGCCTATGATGTAGCTTTATTTTTAACATAAATCAATATAGTATTACAATTTCACAAAAATATAAATAAATAAATGTAACAAAAATCTTTGCGCGCCTAAAATTTATTTTTATTTTATACTTTTTTAGTGTAAATCATAGATTTTTTTATTTATTTGAAATCAATTTTCTAAAAATCTGACTGTAGGATTTCAATAATTTTTTTTTTAAACTTCAGATAAATATGTTCTATATGTATGATATTTTTCTGGTCATTGCTTCAACTTTTTTTCAATATCAAAATTTATTTTTACTGTTATGACTATTTCCTTATATATCAAAGTGCAATTTCATTAATTATTTTGTTAATTACTAAAACCACAGATGTCACATTATTCTCATTTTGAGAATAAGTAAAACCACAGATGTCACATTTTTCTCATTTTGAGAAAAATGTGACATCATTTTTAATTAAAAGTATATTTTTATGACATATTAGTCTATTCACAATATAAAGATGCAGTTTTTGTGCTAAATGCAAGAATTATTTATTCACAGTGTTCTTTAGAAAACAAGACACTCATTTTGGGCATCTGTGGTTTTTCCGTTGTAAACTCATCAACTCATAAATTCCGTTAGCTTGTAACCTTTTAGAACACTTACTTTGCTTAAAGATTATGGTAGTATAATATATGCAACCACAAATTACTTAGATGTTTGTGAGAGGATGTTAAGCCCTACCTCCCCCTCCCTTTCTTATTAAAAAAAACTCAAATCAAACAGTTCTCGAATTGTTTTTAAGCTTTATAAAAACTACACTTGCAACCATTACTTTCCTGAAACATATCTATCTATCATATTTTTTGTAATATATCACTTTGTATTGAGTTTGTATAAACCAGACAAACACCCTGATGTAAAGAAACCGTTAATAAAATAAATGCTTTTTGAATTTTTGAAGAAATATAAAGTACATTTTTCAGTAAAATATAAATAACCGATCTTTTGAATTTTCTTACTCTGAATCTGAGATTTGTTCTGATTCAGATTCCTGAACAAGTAAGTTATCAACTGGCAATTGATCAAAGAATGGCTTATTTTGTTCACTTACAAAAATTTTTGTAAGTGAACAAAATAAGCCATTCTTTGATCAATTGCCAGAACGTGTCTTAAATGGACAATTAACTAAGAAGAATGGCTTTAAAACTTTGTAAACTTCATAAACTTTTCTTTTGTCATGTTTATAATGTTGAATGGCTCTGGGTTTTTGCGAGAGTTCTTGAAAACACTCCTCCAATCATCTAATGTTTCAGCAATAGCCGTGTCTCTGTCAAATTCCATATAGGAATGACCTCTAATTGGAAATGAAACAGTTATACTGTCAAATCTATCTGTTCTATGAACTAGATAATACAAGAAACGTAAAACTGTCCAGTTTTTGTTTTGTCCAGCACATGAATCACAAAACAACTTGATCTGCTTTACATTTTGAGGTAATAAAGAGGTGCAAAAACGCATTGTAAACATAGTTGGATCTACTCTTGCAGCTAACCTTCAACCTCTGTCACATTGTCGTAATGTTGCTTCTCTTTATCTTTTCTACAAATACTATAATGGGCACTGCTCTAAAGAGCTAGCATCTCTTGTGCCATCTACTAAAATTCATTCTCAGGTTACTCGTCATTCAATTAAGTCTCATCCTTTTTCTGTTACTGTTACTAAGTGCCCCAAAAACTCTTCTTCGTCTATTTTTTTTCTTCAAACATCAGTTCTTTGAATTTCGCTTCCTTCATCTTGCTTTCCTGATTCATATAATTTGCGATCTTTTAAGTCGTCTGTCAATCGTTATCTTGCTCTACAATCTTCATCTTTTCTCTTCCAGTATCTTCCAACACTAATTAGTGGTTGCTTGCAGCCTTGTTGGAAGCGAAGATGTTAAAAAAATAATAATAAAAAAAAAAAAAAAATTGATAATTAAAAAAATCATGTAGCATTGAGTAAACATCATCAGAACCTTTATTGCCTACGGTTTCATTGTAGCAATAAAAATATGCTTTTTGAGTAGAAACTATGTGAATGTTGAAAGAGTAAAATGACAGTTGCCTAGAGTTTTATACATCTTGTGTTGAAATGTTGGGGCATTTTAGATTTTTTTGGTAATCAAAGCAGATTGCTTCACATTCAAAATTGTTCTGAGTGTATAGACGTGCAGCTCTCTTCCTCTGGTAAAACATTTCAGCTTTTCTTTGATGAAGCTCAAGTCATGCAATTAAAACATTTTTATCTAGTATAAAATTTTTAGCAGCATCAGAATCACTAGGTACTTGAATATATATTGCGCCTATTTTTTTCTTTGTTAGATCACAAAATGAGCAAGTGTCCTTTC